ACACTCTTTCCCTACACGACGCTCTCCGATCTCCCCAAAACCCCAAAACCCCGATTGTAAAACATTACTATAACTTTTAGATAAATAAGGGAAAACAAATTATTTATTAATAATAGCAGTAGTACTAAATATGATATCATACAAAGTAAATACATGAGATCTCATTTTTTGTGATTTAGTTCTCAAATTTGATTGGAACAGTGTATAATAGCGGCAATATTTTGATGACTGAGCAAAAGAATCCTAATGATTAATCGATTACAGAAACTCTTTTACTATCCCCAGTTGGCAATAAGTTGACCGTCTTTGATTTGACAAAGTAATTATCTCTATTTTATCTCATTACCTTGAATGCTTAATCTTTTTCCTAATAGCAATGTTTCATAGACTTTGCCATTCTAGAATAGATCAAATATAGATAGAGTAGCTCTTAGCCCTGACAGAAGAACACTGATAACTATAGATGTTGATGGGTTCGCCTTATTTATCAATTTCAGCAAAAGAGTTGTCATTGCTCATTTTAATTTTAAGGCTCCTGTGACTGCATTTGCCTTCTCACCTGACTCTAAATTCTTCGTTGTTGCAACTTAAGGGAGAAAAGTAAAGGTATTTGAAGTCCCAAGTGTGGATCATAAAGTTTACAGTCCCTTAGTGCTTTACAAGAAGTATGGCAATCTTCACAGTGAAGAGATTACAGGCGTGACTTGGACTACTGATAGCAGATTTTTCCTTACATGGAGTAATGACCTGACTTTAAAGTTGATGAGTCTCCATAAATTACCAGGCTATCTTCCCTTCACCTTCGGAGGAAACAAGAAGAAGATTATCAAAGCTTTTTTCAATGAGGACAATACGAGAATATTTACTATTTCTTAGAATGGAACTCTTCTACTATGGAAGTGGTAGGATGAAAAGAGTGAAGGTGTTCAGAGAATGCTAGAATTTCAAGAGTTCAAAATGTAGAAGAGATTAAAGACAGGGCAAAAGGAAAATGAGTATGTGCCAGTTGAGGAAGACCTTAGTCTATATTCTGAGTTTGAGAAAAAAGTTACAAAGGGAAGATTTTTATTAGAAAAGAAAACAAAGTTTTAACTATAGAATGGTGCAAAAATAAGTTCATGTGATTACAACTCAAATACAGCCACAACAGGGAATAAAATTTTAGTCGTTGGATAAACCAATGGTGTTTTTGCTTTATTCAACATGGATACTCTAGAGAGTGTTCACTCGTTCCAGATCAGCGAGAATAAGATCCACAGTTTGTCAATTAATGCTTCAGGAGAATGGATCGCATTAGCCAGTAAGGATATGGGACAGCTATTTGTTTGGGAATGGAAGTCTGAGACATATGTAATGAAGCAGCAAGGCCATTTCTTTGATTTGAATACACTAGCTTATTCACCTGATGGTGCTTTGATTGCTACAGGAGGAGATGATGGCAAAATTAAGTTATGGACCTAAAAGAATTGTCTTTGCTTTGTTACTTTCTCAGACCATACAGCACAAGTTACTGATCTCAAATTCATCCCGAAGAAAGGAAATGCCGTCTTAAGTTCCTCATTAGATGGTAGCGTGAGAGCTTATGATTTAGTTAAATACAGATGCTTCAGAGTTATGCAAGCAAATAAGCCAACATAATTCAACTGTCTAGCAATAGATAGTACTGGTGATTTAGTATGCGCAGGTTCTATGGATCCATTTAACGTATATATTTGGAGTTTGAGAACTGGATAGTTAATAGATGAATTAAGTGGCCATACAGCACCTATATCCTGCGTTTAATTCGCTAGCTCAGGAGAATTATTAGCAAGTGGAAGTTGGGATCACACAATAAGAGTTTGGGACATCTTTGAGAAGAAAGGAATTATTGATACTTTAAATCACTCAAGTGAAGTCCTGAGCTTAGACTTCCATCCAAATAACAAAGATCTAGTTTCAACAACGCTTAGTGGATAAACATATGTTTGGCAAGCAGATTAGGGAAACTTGATTGGTACAATTAACTGTAAAGATGACCTAGCAGGTGGAAGAATGAGAGATGATAGAGTTACTGCAAAGAATTCAACAAAAAATAAGCATTTCAACTCAATTTCCATGAGTCCAAACGGAGATTTCTTCATTGGAGGAGGAAATTCAAAGCACATTTGCCTATATGATATGAGATTTAAGCTGATGATCAAAAGATTCGCAATCACTTAAAACAGATCATTGGATGGAGTATTGTAAATCTTGAATTCCAAGCATGTCAGCGGAGAAGCTGGCGTGGCAGATCATGAACTTGACATCGACTCTGATCTTGAAGAAGATGCTTGGTAAGTTAGAAACCAAGCTGACTCTAATATGCCAGGAGCTAAGAAACCAAATAATGCTTAAGCTATCAAGAGAAATACCAAGATGGCTATCAGAGTTAAGAAGGTGTTGTTTTCTCCGGATGGAACATCATTCGCTTGTGCTACTACAGAAGGTCTAGTTGTTTACTCTCTCAGGAACGATAATAGCCTTTTCAACCCAGTGGATATTGATGAGAACATAACTCTTGATAATATCATCTAGTCAGTAAAATAAGAAGAGTACTTAACTGCTTTATTGGTACATAAATATGATTGTCTTAATTGATATTTTAGATGGCTTTGAAGATAAATGAACATGAAATTATTGATAAAGTCTATAAATGCATTCCCATTGAAAATGTGGCATTAATTGCTGCTCATTTCCCATCCAATTATCTTTACAAGTATGCTCTCAAGTTATATTAACCTATTAGATTCCTTGAATATTTATGCTTTGAAATTGAAAAAGGCAAGGATGTGGAGTGGAACATGATATGGCTAAAAAATATCCTTAGATACTAAGAAGCAGCGCTAAAGAAATATAAAGAACTAGGCTAAGGTGGTAAAGGCAGATCAATAATGCTCAAAATTTACTCAAGCCTCTCATTCTATGATCAATCCCTAAGGAAAATGTAAATATTCACTGAGATATAAATTCCATTTAGAGCAAATGAAAATACACATATGATGAAATACATGCTGAGAACTGCAGAATTTAGGAAGGAAGAATCTACAGATGAAAATGAGTTAATGGAGCAAGCATCTTAATGAGGATATTTTAATAGATTGCGTCAGTTAGAGATTCAGAATTCAATGTAAACCAGCTAGACTGACAATTAATTAACAAACTAATTTATTTAAAAGTGCTTTAATCTTAATTTAATAAATATTAATCAAACTAATTAATTAAAGTAAAGAATGTCGAGCAAACAATTAGGGAAGAATTTACTAAGAAAAAACTCTTAAGCAGAGCTGACCAAGATGCTGACAAAGATAAAGGATCCAATGAGCAGTCATCAGAAATAGCAGCTATACTCATTCTATAATTTTACCAGATTTAGAAAGACTAAGCCAACTTTAAACAGACTACAAAATATGATTCTACACTAGAAGTAATTATATAATCTTCGCTAGCCTAAAATTCACATGCCTCACTTCGACAATTACTTTCAAAAACTTAAATATCAATTCATGCAGGGAATGATTAGGAGAGGTAATTACATAAAGAAGGAGATATTGCTTTTAGCAAGTTCAAGAATACTCTAGTTTCTCTCACTGATACCCATATGTTATTTGAGCTATAATGTTGGAAGATAAGCATATATTTCCTACTTAAGTTACTAATACCCAGGTTATTATACAAAGCCTGCTACTCCAATCAAGGATAAATTCAAGAGATATGTAGCTACCTTAGTGGGAAATACCTTGAGAGATCCTCAAGTAGAAAAAGAAGGGTTGAATTTCTTGTCAAAGCTATTTATGGAGCCACAAACTCATGAGGCTGGAGTCTATTTGCTTAAGAATGTGCTAAATGATCCCAGATTCGTAGAAGAGGGTAAGATTTTTGGAATCGATCTGATTTCCTCAATATTGAGATCTAAACAATGCGAATAAGACTTCATAAAGATAGTGATGACAACTTTGTAGCAAGAAAAAGTGAAAAAAGAAACAGTAGAGCTACTTAGGTACATAGTAAAGCAATCTGAGTCAGAGGAAATTCTAGCTATTTATTTCAAAACAGTATTCCTCAGAGATGACATGCTCTAAGGTGTATCGAAGTTGTTAGCTAAATCTGCTGTAGATGCCTTAGACCAGCCTCAAATCAAAGATAAATTTGGTAACTTTGTACTCTAGGTTGCTGAAAATCCTATTGTTAGGACTAAACTTTATCAAAACTATCTAATCAAACCAGCCAAGAAATTCTTCTCATTTGGACTACTTTCAGGAAATAGTGGAGAGGAACAATAACCTTAAAGTCAGGAAAATAAATAATAAAACAGTTGAATTGAAGAATAGGTTTAAGGGTTTTATAGAAATAACTATTCATCAGATCTCTATATTATTAAGCTTTATTGATTTAAATAGCCATAAATTTTACCAATTAATTCTTTTGTAATTTATTTAAACTGGAGTGAGGGGTTTTGGGGTTTTGGGGTTTTGGG